TTTTTTTAAATCTGCTTATTGATGGCTGCTTATTGGTCCCTAGTATCCAGTCCATGCTGCCTGTCTGTTTAAATCAATCTGTTTATTTGCACCCAGCATGCTGCCATGCTCTCCGACTGGAGAATCCCACTGTTTGCCTGGTTTTTTTAAATTTATTTATTTATTTTTTCGTCTTTGCACTGATTGCACCAATGCACCACCATGGAGCTTGTTTTTTTTTTCCCCGTTTCAGTTCAGAAGTAAAGTGGAGGTAGAATGTTACTGCTACTAAGTGGTCATGAACCAAATAGTTTTAATTGTTCACTTTCTCTACAATACAGCTGAAACTAGCGCTCACGAAGGGTCAGTTACAACCCAGGCACAACGTACGTGTGTCCGAATAAGCTTGGATCTAAGCCCGAGGCCACACACACTGCAGTAATAGATGCCCCTGAGCAGTTTTGTTTCCTGAGAAAGACTTGTATCTAGGCACATATTGAAAATGTCTAGAGTGTATCTTCTTACTGGCACGGTTTTGTTGAAGATCAAGGCGATACCGAGACTTTAAAGACATTAACAGGCCATGAAAATTCATAGGCTCTTTCAGGGGTGGAAAAAAAAAAACATGAAAATGAGTCTCTTACCTAGGCAAGCTATGCAAACAAGCCTTTTTTGGTATGGAAGATGAACAATGGTGTGCATGTTGTATTTCCCATTCAATGTTAAGAGCAGATCAGATCCAGATGATGGCTTCATTGAATAAGAACATGGCTGAGGTGAAAGGCATCTCAGTGCTTCTGATTTATTGGATGTCCGGAGACAGCCAGCACAGAGGTGCTCATTGATTAAAAGGTTTGCAGGCTGTGCGTGCACTACGTACCCGAAGTCCTGACCCTCGCTGTGGACCTGATTCTGCTTCAGATCGACTTGGAGAGGTGACTGAGTATAAGAATGTCTGTGTGCAAGGCATTGTATGTTCTAATTTGTCATGCTCAATGAACTCCTTTCTGAAACTGGGGGAAAAAATCCATTCCTCGTTTCAAGCAAAGCAATAAGGTGAACTTGTGTAGTTTGTAATGCCTCCTGTACACAGACTGAAGAGCTGTTGGTTTTATCTTTGGTTTTATAGAGGCACAAGGCGACGTTAAGTGGAGGAGTTCTAATATAGTTGCCCTTGTCCAGTCTGCCCTTGTGATACTTACCTCAGTTCTTTTAGTGGAGGGGAAAGACTAAAGTGATTTGCCTTGAGCCAGGTCTTTATTGGTTTTCCTTGTGTCAACATTAGATTCACAGCAATCTATTATATTGTTATTCTTTTGCACTACCTGTTATATCTGACACCTTCATGCTAGAACTGTGTACTGGTCGGCGTTGCACTGTCTCTTACTGTGCCTATAGTCCTGTTTTAGTAGTTATTCTACTGTCTTTTGCTGTTTGCACACGTTTGGACGTGCACTTTACGTAGTAATGTGTAGTCTCTTGTAGTTCTGTGTTGTGTTATGTAGCATCAAGGTCCTGGAGGAACTTTGTTTCATTTCATTATGCTCTGTATTAGATGTATGTGGTTGAAATGATAATAAAGCCACTTGACTTCACTAGACATGTGGGAGTTTCCTTGTTTCCCCATACCTGAAGTGCCTGAAAAGGTCTTGTGCTGTGCTTGAAAACAGCATGCTCTGTAGTCTGCTCAGTTCCACTGAGAATCCAGCATGCTTTACAATTACGCTGTAGAATGCCATTTGATACGTAAGGAATAGAACACATGGGGACAAGCTGTTATGGGAAAATAATCAACAGCGGAATTGCTGTCATGACCGTGAGGTTGATTACTTTCCTATAGCAGCACATTCTGAAGTGTTGTGTTCATCTTATGCACAGAGATTTTTGTTAAAGAACAATTGTACTAATCCATTTATTCGTAATTCTTAATTCCACACATAATATTGGTGGTTCTAGCTTTGAAGCTGAATGATCCATTGATTACCAAGCTAATAAAGTTTAACATAAATGTAGAGTGAAGAACATTGAGAATTTATTGGCATGGAGGAAACCTCCCTGATTTATGTTACTTTTTGTTTTCTTCTAGAAGTGGTTTAAGCATCCTGTAAACTTCACTTACATATATTAATAGATATGTGCATCATTTAGCATCAGTTCATTTCAGTTCAGTTTTATTTTTTTATAGTGTTTCTAACAACAGACATTGTCACAAAGCAGCTTTACAGAAATCCGACAGACATTGTAGATTTTAGCTGCAAGTCATTTGGATCTTTTATAGTCGTAGTTTGTCCTTGACTGAATATATTCATTTTAAAGCTTTATTTTATGAAGATGGCGGCACTCGATGGCCTGCAGTCACTACTCAACACTCCTTCAGAGTGCCAGGCAAGCGGCTGTAACTTTACTCGGCTTCCTGCATTCAGCCACGAGGCCATGTTATCTCTGGAGACCCTGCGCTTGGCAGCATATCAATGAAACACTGTCCTGGAGAGAGTAAAAGAGGGTGTGTGTGTGTGTGTGTGTGTGTGTGTGTGTGTGTGTGTGTGTGTGTGTGCGCGCGTGGTGTGCCAAGCTGAATGTGGACCCTGTGCCAGCGTGGCTCATGCTCACCTCTTGAGGTGCACCTGTCCTCAAGGCACTTGTCCATCTACAGGTTTCCCGAGACTCACTGGGGGGGGGGGGGTCAACTATACACTCAGAAAAAAAGTTTAAAGGTACAGTTTTTAAAGTCCAGTTATGTACCTCAGATTAGGTGTAGATACATACTAAAGGCACAGAAGAGGTGCCACTGATGGTACCACCCCAGCGACAAGGAAAAGCACAGTTTGATACTTTTCTTTTTGAGAGTGTCACTTCATATTATAAAACTTGAAGACATTTCCATGATGCATCTGTAGCAAGTTCAGTCATACTTTTATTTAATTTCTACAAAACCAAATGACCACTGAAAAGTAGGAAGAATTGAAAAATCTACTAAAAAAATATAGCATAATACAATTTTGAAGATTCAGAACTGAATTGTCAATAAATCTAACATCAGGTGCTTTTGGGGAGTTTGCAGTTGTTATAAAATTACTGATATGCAGACGATATCAGAAAAGTGTATTTTAATAACATTGATCACACTATTGATATTACATCATCATAGTACCCAGTTGTTTTTTCTTTTTCTTTTTTTGAAGCCATACCTTTTTTTCTAAGCACGTCTGTGGCTTTGTAATATTTCTCACCTATAAGGACCACGCAAACACACCAAATGCACAAGCAGCAGGATCTCGCTCGTGCGAAAGGACAGCTGGTTATAGATTATTCAACAGGGTCGTTAAACTGCTGTGTCTTTGCTCAGCAGAAGATAACAGGACATGGTGTGTGTGTGTGTGTGTGTTATGTAAAACGTAAAAGCAGTCACTGGGCGTCTGTGGAAGCTAGTGTATTTTTTTCAGTACTGTTTCTGGTTTATTTTATCCAGCTGGAAAATTTGCAACTGGTGATACTGAATTCAAATGACCTTTTAAGCTCTATTTTATTAGACAGTGTGTTTGTTTCAGTGTGGCCACCGAGCCACCACGTGTGGAGCCAAAGTTGCTCTCTTTTCATTAAACATGTGGAGACTTATTCCCTGTTTCTCATTAGGTTCTTACTGCTGTAAGGTGATAATAAAGGAGCCATGTAAAGGATGTAATATCTCACACCAGGCGCCCGTTCTCCCCTCTGTCAGGTTATTGATCTCCGAAAGCACCACGGGTTACCTAAATGACACCATTACGGCTGTTCTCGGCCCTGCACTAAAACTGCAATGGTGGTGGCGTAATGGACTTTTCACTAATTCACCTTAAGAACAGAAGGCCTAGTACAGGTCAGTGCGTTTGTTTGGGATAATGGCACATTGGTTTTGGTTTAGCATGTTCTCCTTGTATCTGAGTGGGTTTCCTACATGCTGGAAGGGGGATTATTGCCCCTAATGAATACTCCCGGGCTTGCAAACAGCTTTCACACTTCATAAAATGTACCAGACTTGGGCCTCAAACGGCCCAGAGTCTGAATAAAAGATCTAAATCTTTACCTGAGCCTTGTTGAGCATGCATTCACTTACTGTAGACAAGACTGAAGGCAAAAGCCTTTGTCACTAGTGGGGATAGCAAGGAGTATGTAGTGATGTTATCCATTTCCTACTGAAAATGAATGAATTTGGGGTCATTCGAAAATATGAACATGTGGTAAATTGATATGAACGATTATGCTTTACTTAATTTATCAGGTTCCACTTGCTGTCTGTCAGCTTGGTGGTTTTGTTGTTGCCTCAGTGCTGAAGATAAGATGCTGTTATTTTCTCTTTGTAATCGTTGCTAAAGCAAAGTGCATTTGCAGGCATGGCAGAATCAGAGCTGTCGGTGTTAATTACAGCAAGATGCCTGACTTTCTTTGGAAATCCCTCACTGTTTCATCCACGCTTAAACAGCGCTGTTTAGACAGAGATAATGAGATGTTCCTCACTGCAAAAAGTGCTTTTTTTTTTTTATGATCCACTCAAGACAGCGAACCAATCAAAGATGATAAAATGAAATCAGCCTTTGCACTGGCCACATCCTGCCACCACAAGATATTGATTATATCACTACACCCTTTTTTCCGTTTGACAGGTCTTATGCAGTGATGTTTTTCTGAATGCAGCAACCTCCTCGCAATATATGAGTGGTTTTCTAAACAGCACATGCTGCAGAATATTTGCTGGATTAACACCTTGTTTTTGTTTTTAACTTTTTTTGTTCTGGTACATAGGACTGATGTGTTTGTATATTTGAAAGAAATATAATTTTCAGTGAATGTTTCCTTCTCGATGATGACCATTACTTCTTGTGATGACCAACTAATTTAAACCTATACACATTGGTCCGCGTATTTGATTTGTCACAGTTTTTATGCCGGATGCCCTTCCTGATGCAGCCCTCCCCAATTTTATCCGGGCTTGGGACGAGCACTGAGAGCGCACTGTTGCATGCAGCCCCAGTGGCTGGGGTCGGTTCCCTGGCGGGGAATCGATCCTAGGGTACATCAGTGAGAGCGCTGTGGCCTAACCACTAGTCCTCCAGGAACCCATTTACTGTGCTTCAGTATACAGGAAAAAAAAAACATCACATGCTTTCCATTTATGGATCGATAACCATAACTGATAACTATACACACATATTCTATCTTTATTATGTGTATGCTACATACAGTAGGAGGCCTCCCATGTGCTATAAAATATGAGGAAATATGAGGAAGACTGACGGGTTCACGATTATGAAGGGACTGACAACAATGCAGGGGTCTCTTTTCTTGTGTTTTCAAGGAGCCAGGAAACAAACGTCTGGCTACGTGATACAAAAGCACAACAGGTGTAATTTATTTCCGACCTTGGACTTTCAAAGAGTTATTGTTCTGCACTTCAAAAACACTTAAGAGCGAATACTTATTGTTTAAATACCCGGCCATTTCAGAGATACCTGCACTTCCCATGGCAAGAGCTCTTGAGCAATGACACTGCAGTTAGGAACAGCTGTTCCAACCCACCTGTCATCTCCTTGCGAGTGTACTCTCCTGGATACCAGGCTGAAACAGGACCTCATGCTGAAATTCATAACCTCCATTTTCTGTGTAATTACACGCACCATAATGATGATTGTACGTGTGTTTTTTGCATCGTCACTGTACAGTACTGTCTGTCCACAGTGAACTACTGCATTGTTTTAGTGGAGTTTTTTTTTTTTTTTGTCTGCTTTTTTTTTTTATTATTATTATTATTTATCGCATGGGGTTTTCCATCTAGCACTTTTCTGCAAATTTTGAAATTCAGTCCTGCATGGAAAAGGCTAAATTTGGCAGGTTGTAAGAGCAATAGCAATATCAGTGTCTGTGAAGTTTGGTATGTTCTCCCCGTGTCCGCATGGGTTTGCTCTGGGTTTTCCAGTTTCCCCTCCCCTCCCCAAAATATGTCAGTAGATGAATTGGCTACATTAAATTGCCTATAAGTGTGAATGAGTGCTTCGATGGTGTCCTGTAATGGTCTGCCTCTCATCCAGGGTGTATTCCCAGCTTGCATCTAGTGTTCCTGGGATAAGTTTCCGGATCCACCGCAGCCATGTCCAGGAAAAAGCAGTTACTGAAAATGGACAGATGTGATGACCAACCTCAAATCTGTCCATAGTGCTGCTGTTGTGTTGCTTTTCCTTGCATAAATAGCCATGAACTTTGAGTAATGCAGTCTTTTCTCCCTAGTCACATTCATTTGCCTTTTCTTTTGCAGAAATTTGTTTAAAAAAGTGCGAAACATTTGAATGGAAACCCAAATTTCCATATATTGTAGGCTATACTTACTTGTGCTGCTGCTTTTGAGAATGAAACACCTTTTTGGTGTCTGATTTTTACTTTGGACAGTCTGTTCTCACAAAGGTTTCACAAGAACCTGTAATTACCAACTACATTCACGTGCTGGTTAGGTCCTTTTTTTTTTTTTTTTGTTTAAATGCCCTCGTGCTCACGTGGTTCCTGTTCACTTACATCACGTCACTGACCTCTCATTTTACTTCCTCTTGAACTTAAGACAAGTAATGCAGCGTTTACTGTGATCAAGAAACAGGATAGCATGAAGTCCTCTGTCCTGAAGACTTTCCCTTGGCAGAAAACTTCCTGATTGTTACAGAGAGACTCTTTCCATGAGTGTTAAGTAAACATCTCCTAACAGAAAACATTACTATGTCAACAAGTATATGTTTTTCTTAGCTAAATAGCAGCACATTTTTTAAATTTGTTTATTCTTAGCCTTAGATTATGTGGAGTGTTGGCCATACGAGTCCCTGAGAATGCTCTGTTACTATAGAAACGATAATGTATTAGAAGTAGCTTGTTAATATAAACCTACAGGTTGAATTATAGTCAGAACTATTGCCGAACTTGCTGGTACAGAAAGCTAATCAACACCTTATAACCAATTAGTTTCAAGAATTCAACAAGAATCCAAAAAACATGTCAGTAGATTAATTGGCTACATTAAATTGCCTATAAGTGTGAATGAGTGCTTCCATGGTGTCCTGTGATGGTCTGCCTCTCATCCAGGGTGTATTCCCAGCTTGCATCTAGTGTTCCTGGGATAAGTTTCCGGATCCAATGCAGCCCTGAGCAGGAAAAAGCAGTTACTGAAAATGAATGTGATGACCAACCTCAAATCTGTCCATAGTGCTGCTGTTGTGTTGCTTTTCCTTGCGTAAATAGCCATGATCCTTGAGTAATGCAGTCTTTTCTCCCTAGTCACATTCATTTGCCTTTTCTTTTGCAGAATTTTCAGAAATTTGTTTAAAAAAGTGCGAAACATTTGAATGGAAACCCAAATTTCCATATATTGTAGGCTTATACTTGTGCTGCTGCTTTTGAGAATGAAACACCTTTTTGGTGTCTGATTTTTACTTTGGACAGTCTGTTCTCACAAAGGTTTCACAAAAACCTGTAATTACCAACTGCATCCACGTGCTGGTTAGGTCCTTTTTTTTTATTTAAATGCCCTCCTGCTCATGTTTTAATAACAGACATGTCATAAATCTCCAAATGAAGCCACTCTTTTGAGTATACACAGTGAAAAGTCCCTCAGATGGTCAATAGAGCATGCCTATATAGCATAAATGCACTTATTTATCATAGCCAGTACACACAAACACAGCCATGGTAGAAGACTTTATGTATTCATTAAAAAGTTATTTCAGTTGTGTTGGCCTCAAGTGCTTGTGTTTGTCTCTGAGTTTCCCCATTATTAGCCTTAGCATAAAAGCGTCTCATAATGTTTCTCTAAAAGCTATAATACCATTTTCTTATGTTTGAGTTATTTGTCACACCACTTCTTATTTTCCCATTTGCATGCACTGAGACTTCTGTTCACATTTGCTTTGCATGGTACTTGACTTAAATGAAATCGTAGGAAAATTTTGACTGCCTGTGTGCCTCTAATCACTTAATCTAGATGCCAGAAGAAACTCAGCTTCACTGAGGCAAATGTTGAATATGTAATGTGAGCTGAGGAGTTTGGGACATCAGGGAGTTACAGGTGTGATGAGCTACAGTGGAACTCAGGGGAATGAATGATGTGCCCAGTTGGTCTGGGTTTATGTCCTTCCTGCTTCTTCTCATCTCATCTGTAGTCCTGTAAGGCTTGAAGTGGGAGAATTTAGTTCTATAGGACATTAAATAGGTGTGTTTTCTTGTTTCCATTGAGATCAGTGGTGTAGAACAAGACACATTCATTCAGTCGGTTAAGAGTCTTCTTAAATTGGAAGTAGAGTGCCTGTCTGCTGTGAGCAGATTGTACATGCTGAGGAATGGGATGAGGGGATTACAGATTTCTACACTGCGGAAAAATTTGGTTCGGTGTATAAATTGCCAGAAGACAGACAGATTTCTAACCTCATTTCTTCTGGAAATGAGTTGAGATTAGGCATGAGACAGAATTTCGCTGTCTCGTCTATCGTGATATGAAATACTAGCGAGGCGATTTTTTTTGCTTATTTGAGGTGTATCACGATATTTCTTTTTAATATTCTACCTCTAGCTCTAGCTATTCTACCTCTAACTCTTCTTACACACTTCTTACCAAATCCGGCTCACAGCCTCGTATCGTTTGGTTCATGTGAACTTGGAAAAGATAGTACTGAAACGACCCGTAGTACGCTACTGCTCAACGTTTTCTACACTATCCAGAATTCACAGCAGATCCGTAGCAAAGCCATCCAATTGGTAGTTACTGTAAACCGATGTTGAAACTACCATCAAACAACCTTTCCATATTAATGACATTGCCAGGAAATACCTTTATGACACTGAAAACGATTAAAATAACATTAATAATGGGGGAAATTACACCTTATATTATAAATCCTGATATACGTTCCTTACAACACAATGTATTGATATTGCATTAGTGGTTCGATTTGTTGTCATTAAAATAAATGTATTAAAATATTAAAACATTTAAAAATTGCGGTCTGCATGACTTGCATCACTCAGTCATGAGGATGATATTTGAAAGATGATTAAGAATGATACAAATGCTGTTAATGTTATGGAATACCTGCAAAACAAATTACTTTGTAAGTTCCTGTTCACTTACACCACCTCACTAATCCTTTATTTTACATCCTCTTGAACTTAGGACAAGTGATGCAGCTTTTCATGTTACTAAGAAACAGGAAAGCATGAAGTCCTCTGTCCTGAAGACTTTCCCTTGGCAGAAAACTTCCTGATTGCTGGACAGAGAGACTCTTTCCATGAATGTTAAATGAACACCTTCTAACAGAAAACGTTACTATATCAACAAATATATATGTTTTTTTGTCTTAAATAACAGCACATTTTTTAATTGTTTAGTCTTAGTTTTAGAATATGTGGAGTGTCGGCCATACGAGTTCCTGACAATGCACTGTTACTATAGAATCGATAATATTATAAAACTAGCTCATTAATCTAAACTTGCAGTCTGAATTATAGCCAGAACTATTGCCGAAGCTAATCAAAACCTTATAACCAATTATATTCAAGAATTCAACAATGCCATGGTATAAACCCGAACAATTTGCATTACATTTATGGCATTTGGTAGACCTCCTTATCCAGAGCGACTTAAATTTATCTCATTTATGCATCTGCGTAGTTGAGGGTTAAGGGCCTTGCTCATGGGCCTAACAGTGGCAGCTTGGCGGTGCTGAGATTTGATCTTCCGATCAGTAGTCCAGCGTCTTAACTACTGAGCTACCCGTTGAACTCAATAATGCATCCATTGAATTGAATATGAGTTTGAAATAAGCTATTTCATACCAATGCCAAAAATGACCTAAAAAGGTGATAAAAGAGAGCATTAGTTCTAACTTGGAGTATGCCATAATGTTTATGCCTGTTTATTTCATAGGACTCCTACAATTAGCTTCATATTTAAATAGACTTTGTTATGGAAATAAGCCAGCTCTGCAGCCTTGAGAAAGTAATTTCATTTTTATGGTAAACTCAATCTGCATAATGTGCTTAGTGATTCTGTATGCATCTTGATGAAGAAAGATGTTCAAATTTTAGTTAG